TGTAACATGTATTAGAATAAGCGCCCTTTTTTTTCTACACATGTTCTGCCTTCTAACTTAGACCTTTTGTTTTCTATCTATCAAGTTCCTACCTATGTAAAAATGTACATATACACATACAAAGGGACGCTGAGACAGCTCAGTGGGTAAAGGAGCTTGCTGCCAAGCCTCATGACCTGAGGTCCAACCCCAAGACTCACACTGTGGAAGGAAAGAACTAGCTCCCCAGAGTTGACCTCTGATCTCCATATAGGTATGGTACATTGCCTGTACATGTGCAAGCACACATCCCAAATACATTTTAAAGGGTCTTAAAAACATATGTGTGCATATGTAATAAAAAATGGACAAAAATCTCCATTCAGTATGCTTAAAGTATGTTAAACATATATTATCATTTCATTTAAAATGCAAAAGACTTATAAATCTCAATAAAAACAAAGATATAAAGAAATGAGCACTCACATAGTGCAGAGAGTAAACGATAACATTTTCAGAGGAAATTTGACAGTATCCTACTAAACTAAAAATATGTTTAACTTCTGACAGAAAATTTACTTCTATAAATTTATCTTACAGAAAAAATCCCCACATAATTATTCAAGGAATATTTATAATAACAAAACCTTAAGATAATTTAGTGTTTACAAAAGTAAATTATGCTATATTCAAACTATATAGAATACTATCTGCCCAGGAAAAAGAATGAACGACAAGCCAGGCAAGGTAACACACATCTGTGATCCCAGCACTTAGGAGATGAAAGCTGGAAGATCAGGAATGCAAGATCACCCTCGGCTACATAGTGAGTTTGAGGCCAGCCTAGCTAGCCTACATGACTACACGAGACCCTGTCTCAAAAACAAAAGAATGAAATAGTACATAAAGATAAACACTACAACAATCATTGCTTTGCAAGCATTAATTCATCTCACAAAAATCCTAAAACATATTTAAGTGGAAGCAGGCTCATGGCACACTGAGAAATGAAAACAAGTAAATTGCAAAACAATACATAGTGTACCAAAATGTGTATTATTTAAAGGAAAAAGGAAAAGAAAAAAGAGCCTCATGCCACACTTCTAACGGTCCTCAACAGTGGTTACCTTTAGAAGCTGTCAGGATGGGAAGTAGAATGGACTTCCTCATTTTCAACCCTTTTATTTATACATACAGAAACACAGATATGCATACACATGTCTATATGGATAAATATATACATATATATCTTTATTTTCAGAATGCAAAACTGCTATTTATTTTCTTTTTTGGATAGGTATTTTTCATAAAAGCTTGCTATTTATGCTAACATCTAAGTTTTTTTATTTCAGTTTGACTTTCTTCTTCTTTTTTTTTTTTTTTTTTTTTTTTTTTTTTTGCACACACACACACACACACACACACACATGGTCTTTTGAGACAGGGTCTCCCTGTAGCTCCAGCTTTGAACTCTCAGAGATCCGCCTGCCTCTGCCTCCCAAGTGCTGGGATTAAAAACCTGCACCACCATGCCCAGCTCTTTCTCTTTTTTTAAAATTTGAGATGGCGGTCTCACTCTACAGCCCACAGTGGCCTGAAATTTACTATGTAGCCCAGACTGGCCTCAAACTCACAGCAATCCTCCTGCCTCAGCCTTCCAAGTTCTAGGATTACAAGCATGAGCCACCACACCCAGTTTCAGTTTGAATTTCTAATATGACAAATATCAAAGTAGGCACAACCCATTAGCAAAAACTTTTTGACAGCTTCAATCATTTTTTAAATATTTAAAATAAATAAAATATATTTATTATTTTTATTTTATGTGTATGAGTATATTGCCTGCACATATGTGAGTGTATCTGTATCGTGCAATACCCCAGAGGTCAGAAGAGGGCTTCAGATTCCCCTGGAACTGGAGTTAAGGATGGTTTGTAACCACCATATGGGTGCTGGGAATTGAACCCAGGTCCTCTGCAAGAGCAAGCATCAGTACTCTTAACCACTGAGCCATCTCTTTAGCCCCAGCCTCAATCATTTTTAAGAGTGTAAAGGTTCTGCTTAGGAACTATTGCTGTAAGTCAAAGGTTGTAAATTGGTAGGATATGATCCACTACAGCCCAAGGCACATTTCTTCTTTTTGCGAATTTCATACATGTACATGTGTTTTGATCAAGTTCACTCCAGTCCCCTCCCTTCCATTTCCTCTCCTATATCCCCCAAAACTCTTCCTTTCAACTTCAAGTTCTCTGTTTTTAAATCCGTTTCATCCACTTAGTGCTACCTGTATGCACATGGATGTAGGATCATCTACTGGAGCATAGGAAGCCTCTCAGGGACCACATCCCTGAAGAAAACTGACTCTCTTCCCCAGCAGCATCAATTGCCAATAGCTCCTCAGCTAGAGTGTGGGACTTCGTGAGCCCCTCCCTCATCCATACTGAGATTCTGGCTGGCTTGATCTTAATATTATTATTCTGCTAAATGGACATAGTAATAAGCTGCCCCCTAAATTCTTATCCCCACAGAATAGTATATTTCTTATCAGAGAAGCTGATTAATACAGAGACCCTCAACTCATCAACATGTAGAGACTAAAGAGACTGTGGAATCTCAGCTCCAAATGGGACATTGATACCAGACCCTCCCACCCCCCAAGGCTCAGGAATCATGGAGAAAAAGGGTGGGGAGAACTATTTTAAGAGTCAGAGGTAGTGGACAGTCTACATTGAGACATTATTTTCAGGCCATGACAGGGCCACTCTACACATGAACTTATATGGGCAGTGTGTCCATGCATGATACATTTTTTGGGGGGGAGGGGGGTCTTTTTGAGACAGGGTCTTCCTGTAGCCCCAGCTGGCCTGGAACTCACTATGTAGACCAGGCTGGCCTTGAACTTACAGAGATCCACCTGTCTCTGCCTCCTGGGTGCTGGGACTAAAGGCGTGCACCACCACACCCGGCCACGGTTGTTTTAAAACACTTGAATCAGCTATGAATATGGAGATCAGAAAAACTCATAAAGAAATCTGTATCTCTGGCTTCCCTTGAAAAATCCAGCTATCAGGTGACACTGGGCCCATATTCCCACATGGCAGGGGCTGAAAAACTGCTCTCCTGGGCCAGGCAGAGGACCTCTGTGTCCTGCAAGGGCCACCCTCGTTACCCACCCAGCCACCATGGGCTCCACTTCCTGACTCATCTCACATTCAGGAATGACACAGCATTTATTTATAATCTCATTCCTTACCAAATTCCCCGAAGGCTTGGCAACTCCCAGCCAACAATAGAAATAGGAGTGACTGCCAGGTCCACATACATTGTTAAAGCATATGGTTTTTATATTTTTTTAAAAACTACTACAAAGTACATATTATATAATGACTTACAGAAACACAATAAATTGATCATGAAGTAGATTTGTTTCACATTTTCAAACACTTGTTACTTTTACTTTTTTGGCTTGTTTCTGTTTTACTTAACAAAACCTCTACCTCTTGAAACATCCATTTAAAATACCATCAACTACTACGTCCTATAATACACACAGTAAACTGTATAGACCTTGAAATCTTGTAGACCTGGGTTTGAATGGATCTATTCATTTTTTAATTAAATTTGGCAGAGTGGGGGACATGTCACTGTGTGCACGTGGAGGTCAGAGAAAAACTTGCAGAAGTCACTTCTCTTCTTCCACCATGCGGGTGCCTGGGGATCAAACTCAGGTCATCAGGCTCAGCAGCAAGCACCTTTATTGAATGAACCATTTTAGTGGATTTACCCAGTGTTGTCTGGCAGGAAGCAATGAGCAACACTGAACAAATTATTTATTGTCATTGAAACTTAAGACTTCTTACTCTTAGAGATACATGCCAGTTATACCAAGGCTTTTATGAGGACTAAATAAAACAACATCTAGCCCAGCATGGTGGTTCACACCTTTGATCCCAGCAGAGGCAGGTGGGTCCCTGTGAGTTTAAAGCCAGCCAATTCTACATAGGAGTAAGAGAGTAAATCAGGACTCCAGTTAAAGGTTACGGTCTTTCCTTGGAATTTTGCCTGATTCTTCCAACTTAATATAACTGCTCTTTTCTTGGAAACTCCATAGGTTTTGCTATTAGCTAAGAAAGATCTTTTATGACACTTTTCTGCCATAATTGGTGACTTATCTTCTGGAAAAGTTGTAGCAAGGCAAGGCTAACTCATAAATCTCATTTTGATTCTTGAAAAAGCATGTCTACAATGCTTTTGAAAATTGAATTTCAAGAGAATCTGACATTAAGTAAAAAGAGAGATGACACTGAAGATAGCGGCCCCCAAACATCCATGTTCATTCCCTCAGTAAATGACTTTCCGTGAACCCCTCCCATGAGCAAAACCTTCTGCTAAAAATTCTAGCTTTGCTACCAATGAGCCAACAGATGGAACTGAAGCATCTCATCTTTAATTATCCAAGTAAACTAAAATCAGTCTTTTAATTCAGGTGGGGAAAGAATGTAGCTGAACTAAAAAGTTTAAAGTTTAGCTATGTTAGGAAACAGTCCAGATAATACATTTACAAGTTGAAATTTTCCCTTTGACCCTAGACAGCATACCACAAGTAAAAAAAGAAAAGAAAAAGAGAGAAGGCTCTAAGTATCCGTCACATGGATAATGACGGCATTAAGCTTAAAGCAAGTTCCCATGGATAATTACGGCATTCGGTTTAAACATAAAAGCAACTTCCCTTAGTTTAGTTTTTTATTTAATGGTGCACAAATAAAGCCAATACTTTTCAGGACCTCAGACTTGTCTCTACATATAACTACCCTTTTCTTGAGATTAGAGCTCATTAGTCAAAGTCACGAGGTGTATTATGAACCTAAATCGTTGGAGAGCGTTCCGCAGCCGGCAAGCAGCCTCCCCACTGCACCATCAGCGCAGATCCCGCGCTCAGTGCTGTCGCCCAGCTGGCTTCGGTTTTTACAAGCTTTGCCAAGAGTCTCGACATAGAAAAAAAAACAGAAGAGGACACTTACCTTGAGGAGAGAAAGCAGCGTAATGGACTTCCGGCCTTGCTCCAACTTGTATCACATTTCAGCAGCTGGGCGGAGCCAGTTTACTCAATAACCCACAGAGAACCCAAGCTGCGGAACTTGATTTACAAGCACAAGTTTTAGGACTTCAGATCCGAAGCTTAAAGAGTTCTGTTGTGCCCAAAAAAATAAAATGCTTGTTAAGTTTTTACTCACTAATTGTTGTTGCACTGAGAGAACTATACTTTCTTTCACTACAAAACATTTAGAAATACATAGCTGCTGCATGTAACTTAAGACAAAAGGCAGCTATCTGTGCCTAAGTGATGCAGACAATTGGACTTTCATTCTGCAGTGTAATATTGAACTATGCAATATCGGAGACACTGATTTTTTTTTTTAATGACTGGTTGTCTATGTAATTCAAATTTGCCATAAGAATTCACAGGAATAGTTCTGCATTTTTATCCAGCAACACTACACAAACTATTCATTTATGTGAATGTACAAGAGGTATAAAAGAATTGGATTAGCCGGGGTGGTGGCACAGGCCTTTAATCCCAGCACTCGGGAGGAGGCAGGCAGATCTCTATGAGTTCAAGGCCAGCCTGGTCTACATAGTGAGTTCCAGGACAGCTGGGGCTACCGGGAGACACTGTCTCAAAAAGACCAAAAAAAAAAAAAATGGATCCGATTGCATGAGTTATAAAATGTGAAAGAGCTCTTTTATTTTGCAAAGTATATCCTGAAACTCACAGGTTTGGTTTGGTTTCCTTTTAAACTTTTAATCTATGTCTTACATTATTTTGCAAAAGAAAATGTTCAGGATTAGGAAAAAGCTGTGTATTTGAAAATGTTAGACACCCCACTTTCCAACTTTGACAAGCATGTAAAGAAAGATTGGGGAAGAAACAATTATGAGGCATGCTTTGACCTGTGGTTACCTATTACTCAATACTAGTAAATTCTCTAAATCCATTTTAAAAGGTTTGCAGAGAGGAAGAGAATAGTCATCATTACTTTAATCTTTCTAGTAAGAACTAGTTAACTACTTACAGCTAACAAAATCCCCCCAGCACAGGTTAAAGAGAAGTTTTAAGTAAAGATGGTCCACATCTTGTTTTCCATCCTAAAGTGACTTGAAACATGAAAATTTTTAAACCAAGCCAATTGATTTTCAGTCCTTCAGTTCAAAACCAGAGTTTTACCAGACTTGGAGTCCAGCCTGTGTCCCCAACAAGCCATGCTCAATCCACTCAGTCCCCATAAGCCAATTAAAACAGCCAAATTAATAGTAAAAAAGCAAAAAAAAAAGGAGATTTATTCAATATTTGATGTGGCCACATTAGGAAAAGGCACAAAAGACCTATTACACACACATACACAAGGCACACAGACACACACAGATACACACACACACAAAGACACAGACACATGCACAGACACAAACACACACACACACACACACACACACACACACACACACAC